GAACAGACCAGACGGTCGATTTCCAATCCCCCGCTCCAGGGCCCCGACGACGACGATCCGCGCTGTTTCGAACACGAATTCTGTTCCTCCGACCGACATTGTACTGTACTCGGTGCTACTCGCTACGGCTGGCCGGATCGTTTAAGCTGGATTCGCTATTCCATGACTTCTCCCCCGAGGTGACAGGTCGGGATTCCCGAATATTTCATACATCACCACCGCACTTGCTCTCAACCGTACCTTATATCCAGACCCAACATGGAGCCCGTCCCAGAGACTGAGAGGATGGAGGAGTTCCGACCCTCTCCTCTACCGAGTCTCCGAGTCCAGGGCCCGGCGTCTTCGACAACTACTCTCAACTCCGAGTTCGACTACCTCCGAAAGCCGCCGACGCTACGCCGATCCACCGACCCCTCACCTTCATCGTCACCAACCTCGCCCTCGTGGACACCTTCCACGACATTCCCCTACCGACCCCGCGCCGCCTCACCACTGTCCAGTGTCCACACGAGGTCGAGATCAGCCGTCAACTTGCCGCCTCCAATGGCGCGCACTCAATCCATGCCCGGTATCAATGGCACCGGTCATCTACTATACTCGCCTCAGATACGACCACAGAGCCCCTCTGGCTCGCCTAGTCGGATCCGCCCTCACCGGAAGCCCGTGGACGAGGCGTTCCCCACATCGCCAACCAGAGTCTCGGTAATTGATCCCGAGCGCAGATTATCCGAGCGAAGCAGCGCACCGAATCTTGGACTTGGACTGCCTGCTGCAGTCGTGGCATCGAGCCTTAGGAGGCCTTCCTCTCCGTTACGGCAAGTTTCGGCCAGCACGGGCTCATTACCGAACATGCCTACCACGCCCTCATCCACGGCGACCTCGCCCTCATACCGCTCGTACGACTCGCTCTCTACCGGGTATCCATTTGCTCTCAACTATCACTCGTCTTCTGTACCCTCCACGCCGACATCGATAAGATCGAGAAGTCCCAGCATCTCGAGTCTCGAGACTATCCCAGATTCCCCCGACGCCGAGGAGGCAGCACTGGAGGCTGAGAGGATTGCCCAGCTGGAAGCTGAAGTTGAAGCTGCTGAAGGTGGTGACGGCAAGGGCAAGGGAAGCCTGGATTTGCCTGTGCGTGGCAGGACCTTGAGTTTTGGAGCAAGGGACAAGCGAAAGCGATGGAGCGTCTGCGGCGCCGAGAGACGGCAAGATCTAGATCTGGAGACTATCTGGGAGGACTAATAACTTTCCTCGGGACTATTCCTTATGGACTGGTTACACTGCTAATGGTCCATTTTCCGAATGGACGCCAAAGATACGATCTCTGGCACGATTGATAGCGACCGGCTACGAAACTGGTATACTGGCTTGAGCCACGCGGGAAATGCATTTAGCTTTCTTGTTTCTCTTTCCTCTACTTTTCAAATCGGCATCTCGGCATAGGGTTTCCTGGCGGGGATGGAGTTCATGGACGAAGTGACCCAGGGTGGGAATAGGTGGCGTTTGATTTTCTTTTCGATTTTTCGTTATTGGTACGATACCCTCTGCATTAGCATTCTTCATGGGCAACAAAACACAACCAACCGACCATTGGCAGCAAAAACAGCCTACTCAGTTGCTGCATCACCATCTCGGGGCATGGTTTTTTCTTTCTTCTCTCTTTACCGGAGGCTTGGCGGTGATCCTCCTTGGTCCGGGCGGCTTTTCCTTCCTCTCGTTGATCATTTTCTACTCTGTATTTTTCATATAGGTATTCACTTTCAGTGCGGACGTATTACCAGGGACAAAGGGGAGCAGCATCATAGCATCACCAAGTGTGTCTCGGTGGGTCGATTTAAGCTGGAGCGTGGGCCAGAAGATTAAGTATCTAGGTATGGGGTTAGGCCACTCATCGCACTGCATTGAGTTACGTTGAATGCAGTGAAGAAATGGAAATGCATATATTGCGTCCGATGTCTTAGCGTGATGTCTGTGTGTGAGGATCGTCGTTTCTTCAGCTCAGGGGGTGTTGAGCCACGTGGGCAATATGTGGGCTACGCCCTGTCTACCGGGACGACTCCCTAGGTCTGTACTATATGCCCCCTTCATTACATCCCTCGCCAATTGTTGATGATGGTGAATCTATATCCCCAGCTCCCTTTCATCAGACGCTTCGGTAGCAGGGCCCTCCCGGACGAATAGCTGCCAAGTAATTATGCTGTACCAAATGGATAGTGGCCCTTCATTACTGCTCTTTCGTCGCCAAATACTCCCTTGGTTGTCATGACTGCATAAGATGACCCTTCACCATGTAATAAAAGCTCGACAGTCTCGCAGTGAGAGGAGCAGTGGAATTGACTCCTTCAAGCTGTTGATCCGACAATTTTCAGACTTGCTTACTTTCGGCCCTTAACATCATGCGCCTGACTACTGTGCTCTGCTCCGTGGCCCTGGTTGTCCAAGGGATCGAAGCCTTGCCACATGGTGTAAGTGATGATACGTTCCCAAATGGTAGATCGGGTCTTTCGAGCTGAAAGTTAACTTGTTCGGTGAACGACAGGGGAGAAATCCAGACTCACCAAAGTATCAACGACGGGATAGGTTCAGACGACGCCAACATTGGGGCCCTCCTCAGGGTGGTCGTCAGAATGGCCACGGCAATGGCAACAACCTGAAGCCGGTTCCTCCTCCGGTGGCTATTACACCACCAACAAATCACAACCCAGCTCCGGGATCAGCCCAGGCTCAAGATAATCTTCCTCCTTTGGAGCCAGGTCTTGAAGGCGGCCCCGTCTCGGGCCTGAACTTCCTCCCAGGCGATGGGGACGACGACATCAACACGGCGTCAGTCCCTCTGGATGCGCCAGTCACATCAACAACGCCGTGTATCACGACCGTTACTCAGACGATAGATGTCACCCTGTTGATCACGGCTTCAAGGCCGAAGCCTAGCGTACCTCTCCTGCCCGTTCCTGGTCCGCCACCTCCCCCTGCTACTGTAGCTGGTGGTTATCCTCCGCTGGATTATCCTGCTGTTCCGCCGCTGTCGCCGCCCCCTCGTGGTTATGCGCATCCTCGTCCTGACTTTCATGCTCATCCCGCTCCCGAGATTGATTCTCTGCCTCAGCCATTGCCGCAACCTACCTCTGCCTTTTCCGCAGGCCGCCCAAGTAACCAGCGAGCCTTGCCCCGAGGATGAAGATGGCTCCCCGATGACCTTGAGCTTTGAGGTTGTCCCTGTGCCTGCTTCGACGGTTACTCCGTACATTGAGCCGGCATCTTCAGCGCCTGCCACATCGATGAGTGTCGACATTTTCAACCTCCCGCTAGAAGGTGTCGAGCCATCTGCCGTTGTTTCGTCCACACCATCATCAAGCAATAGCCTCTGGGCTGAATTCTGGCCCGGGGAGCAGCAGAGACAAGGTACAGCAGCGGGAGACGTTGCTGCTGCAGAGACTGGGTTTGTCACTTCCGATGAGAAAAAGAAACAGAAACAGAAGAGAGATGTTGATTATGATGATGAGGAGGGTCCTGTCCCTGACAACAAGCCAGATCGAGGGAGCCTCGGTGGTGGTGCTGAACACATACATGACGTTGGCAGGGAAGGCGAGATGATCACCAGGACGGAGACAAGGACTATTCAGCACTTCGCGACGATCACGCCAAGTGCTAACAACGGCGAAGGATTTGTTACACCACCCCTTGGTCATCCTCGTCCTCGGCCACTGCAGGATATCCCTCATGTTCCTTTGCCTCCATTGCCAGCGCCGCCTCCGTCACCGGCCATGACGGACCCGCCGAAATCACCAGCATTCAGAAGACCAAAGCCACAACCCGATGTCAGACCTCAACTTGCAAATGTGCCAGTTCAGGTTCAAGTCGAAGTCAAGACTACACTCTGCCTGGACGACACAGATCTCCAGCCCGATGCAACTGCTCTTCCTAATCCTGGAGCTGAAGCTGAAGCTCAAGGGTTACCTCATCGGCAGCAAGTGCCCCAATCGACACATTCACTGCAATGTGAAGGACATTCACCCAGGCCCTCCGCCCGTTCGGGACAGTCCGCCTGGGTTTGTTGGTGGTTGGGGGGTCGATCATCGGCCACCCGGACGCAAGGATGCCCGTAACTTGAGCAGACGGGACTATGGCGCAGAAACTGCAGAGGATCAAAAGAACCAGATCGATACACAGAAGATGCAAGACGAAGTTGATGGTGCGTTTCTCATTGAACAGGTGGTGGAAGAAGCTCCCGGGGTGCCCATTTCTTTGGGCGGGTGTTATCAGCGCTGTTTGGTACGTACTTCTTTGTGATGAATGATTGTTTACCTTGCCCCCTTTATTTCACTCCTATCAATCATCGCTTTGACTAACAAGTTCTTCCAAAAAGAAGATCACGCAGGGAAATCCAAGCGGGTGTAAATCCTACGCTTATTATCCGCCCCATCCGCATTCTCAAGATCTTGAAGCCAGGGGCGAGAATCACCGTCCCCAGGAACAGGAGGAGTACAGCAGTGAGGAAGGACATGAGCAAGATGGGCAGGGTAAGCCGCATTGTGATATCTTTGGGGAGGAGGTAGCTGCCATCTTCTCCCCGGGAGCTGCAGCTCCTTCTCCTCCTCAACCAGTACCAGTGCACAACACCTGGTTCGACCTCGAGTGTGGGAGTCCGTTGGATGAGAAGTGGGCTGGTTTGGGTGTGGGTGTATAATCTCTCTCATCTTTGTTGTTTCTTTCTCTGCATTTTTTCTTGTCCGTTTGTTTTGGTTTTTGAGATTGGCTACTCTCATAGCATTTTATTCCCCCATTTCCTCTTTTCCATGTCAATTCTATTATGTAGCGATATAGTTCAAGATCGTCAATAAAATTCGTAACGTCAGAATACAGGTCATATATCTCACGGTTATGAAGGTAGAGAAGGGCAAAAAAACAGAAAGCAGCAATGAAATGAGCTTCACTGATAAACAAATCCATATAAAGTTGAGGGAGCGAACGGTGAGGAGATAAAAAATAAAAGGATTAGGTCGTACCCGGAATCGAACCGGGGTCACCAGAATCAGAATCTGGGGTGATAACCGCTACACTATACAACCTTGACGTGTTATGGGATATTAAGTTGTGGCGGGTTCAGGACTTATGTAGAGTGTGGAGAGCTCGTGGGTCTTGGGTCTTTTGGTAAAGGTAGGTATTTTGGGCAGTAAACAATAATCCCGAAAAACCCAGGTGGAGCAAATTCAAGCGTAAAGTGAGTAATAAGACGGAAACATATCGTATTGAAACAGAAAAAGAGTCACGCCTCCACCGTCAGGCAATGCACCTTTTTGGCGTTTTGCGATGATTCAAGGTGACTCATCCCATCCAAAAATCTGGGGGTTGTGTAATCGATCTCTTGGCCGATCCAGCATTGACAGGAAACGGTGGCAAAGAACGGCAGGCACAGACAGCTACAGGGCTATTTTCAGCGGCCTCGGACTGAAAAACGGGGAGGCTAGGCCCGCTAGGGGGCATTTCCAATCCATTGCCACGGGTCGCGTTCGCGGGTAAGAGCGCTGCAGGTCGTCATCCAGCGAATAGCGAGCAGCCGCTGCATTGCTCACAGAAAGCCTTTGCCCCCCCACTTCAACAGATATATCTCGGCATTGAAAGATTGAACACTCAACTCCGACTTGATCTAAACACGACCCTGATTTCGAGTGCTTTTGTCTTTCTAGGGGAGTAGAGAATTGAGAGGCGGCCTTTTTTTCTGCTTCATTTCTCTCGAATATCCGAAGACGCTGTATTTTTCAAAGCGCAAACCCAGTAGCAAACCTGACCCAATTGGGCATTTCACAAATCACCATCACGGAATCTAATTTCACAGGCTGGTAGCAACTTTTCATCTGTGACCATGGCTGATGCTTCTCAGACTGCCCCGTCTCAGGGAGGAGGAGAAAGCAATTCTCAACGAGGCAGAGGAGGGCGGGGAGGTCGAGGTGGAAGAGGATACAGAGGTGGACGGTACAGGCAAAGACGTGCTGCAAGGGCCGACTATGACGGCGACAGCACTCCAGCAGATTCGGCTCAGTCAGCAGCACCGCCAGTAAATACAGAAGCCGCTCCAGCACGGGCACCTGAACCAAGGGTCGAGGCTTCGAATGAGAGATGCCAAGAAGTGACCAGAGGTGGCTCCCAGCCAGGCCGTTCACGAGGTGACCGGGGCAGACGAGGCGGACCTGGGCGAGGGAGGGGCAACACGACTCAACGATCCGTCGTGGTATCTCATCGTGCCCGTCCTGGGCCTCAGTCTCAACCACCACCGCAAGCTGCAGATGGCAATGGCCTGAGCCCCACGGCTAATGAGTTTATCCCAGGCCAGCCAGTAGGTGCGGTGCAAAATACCGCCCCTCGAGCTCCCCAAAACAAACCAAGACACAAACCACAGCCTGTCCCAAAGAAAACAACAAAATCCACGGCCGAGGATCTGCCCACTCGGATCCACGAAGACATCGACAACGGCCAGTACGAGTGTGTGATTTGCACCAGCGAGGTGGTACGGACGTCCCGAGTCTGGTCCTGCTCCATCTGCTGGACCGTGGCCCATCTCCACTGCGTCAGGAAATGGCACACCAATCAGATGAAGAAGGCCGAAGAGGACCGGCAGAACCAGAACCAGAACGGCGAAAACCAACAGCCCACTTGGCGATGTCCGGGCTGTAACTCTTCTCTTGTGGATGCCCCGGGTCCTCATCGGTGCTGGTGTGGAAAGGATACGGACCCAAGACCCATCCCCGGTTTGCCGCCTCATACCTGCGGCCAGACTTGCAACAAGACCCGCGCTACTTGCCCGCATCCGTGTTCCTTGATGTGTCATGCTGGACCATGTCCGCCATGCACGCTCATGGGACCAGAGCAGACTTGTTATTGCGGCAAGCACACTTCGACCAAGAGGTGTGTTGACACCGACTACGGCAAGGGATTTAGCTGTGGCGAGATTTGCGGGGACCTGCTCCCCTGTGGTGAACACGAGTGTCCGCAACCCTGCCATACTGGGCTCTGCGGAGCTTGCAAGGTGACGGTGTCGGCTACGTGCTATTGCGGAAAGGAGCAGCGCAAGATGCCCTGCGAGCAACGGGATGAGATGCTGGAATCGTTCAACTACGGTCAAATCAAGTCGGAGGAGGCTGCAGAAGAATGGTTTGAGGGCTCATTTGACTGTAAGAAAGTCTGTGGGAGACCATTCGACTGCGGTCACCACACTTGCCAGAAGCAATGCCATTCGCAGGACGAGAAGCCTGCTCATTGCCCGCTATCTCCGGATGTCGTCTTCACATGTCCCTGTGGCAAAACGCCCATCACTAAACTTATTACGGAGCCACGCCAGAGCTGTCAGGATCCTATTCCTCATTGCAAAGAGGTCTGCAATAAGACCCTCCCCTGTGGCCACTTTTGTCCCCAGAAATGCCACGACGGCCCTTGCCCTTCCTGCGAGCAGGTGGTTGAAGTCCCCTGCCGGTGCGGACGAACCACGCAGGAACTCATTTGCCACGAAGGGACCCAGGAACAGCCCGAATGTGACCGAGTCTGTCGTGTCCAACGCAACTGCGGTCGTCACGAATGCCGCAAAGTCTGCTGCACAGGCGAAAAGAAAGCGGCCGAACGAAAGAAGCAGCAGAAACGAAGCGGCGGCAGTACTTCCACGGCAAACAACAACATCAACAACCCGGACAACTTTGAAGCAGAGCACATCTGTCTCCAAGTCTGTGGTCGCCAGCTGAAATGTGGTAAGCACACATGTCAGCAAATGTGCCACAGGGGACCGTGTGCGTCCTGCCCGGAAGCCATCTTTGACGAGATCAGCTGCTCCTGTGGCAGGACGGTCCTCCAGCCGCCCCAGCCATGTGGGACTCGGCCGCCTGAGTGTCGCTTCCCGTGTACCAAGGCGCGGCAATGTGGTCATCCCGCCGTATCGCACCAGTGTCATCCCGAGGAGGTGGAGTGTCCGAAGTGCCCTTTTCTCGTGGAGAAGGCGTGTATCTGCGGCAAAAAGACACTCAAGAATCAGCCTTGTTGGCTCGGCGAGGTGAGATGCGGCCTGCCTTGCGAAAGGAAACTCAAGTGCGGGGCCCATGAATGCAAAAAGACATGCCATCGCCCAGGAGAGTGCGAAGATGCTGGCACCGCGGGGCCGACACATTGCTCGCAGCCTTGTGGACGAGTGAGGAAATCGTGCGAACATACTTGCCAGGAAACGTGTCATGCCCCATTGCCATGCAAGGAAGACAAGCCATGCCCATCCAAGACGTTCATCACCTGCCCCTGCCAGAACAGGAAGCAAGAGGTGCGCTGTCTAGCTACGAGGCTGAATCCGCGGAATGGAGATGGATACACGCCGACACAGCTCAAGTGCGATGAAGAGTGTTTACGACTACAAAGAAACCGCCGATTAGCCGACGCGCTGAATATCGACCCCGAGACACACACTGACGCGCATATTCCCTACTCGGATACCACACTCAAGCTGTACCGGGATAATATTCCCTGGGCGCAGTCGCAAGAGCGCGAATTTAGGGTGTTTACCAGCCCAGCCGAGGAGGGGAACAAACGGTTACGGTTTAAGCCGATGCCGGCGCACCAGCGGGCGTTTATCCATTCCCTGGCTGAGGATTACGGTCTGGACTCGGAGAGTCAGGATCCGGAGCCGCATCGTCATGTGTGTATCTTCAAGACTCCGAGGTTTGTCGCGGCACCGAAGAAGACGCTTGGTCAGTGTGTCAGTTTGAAACTTGCGACGGGGTCAAGTTCTACGGTTGCGAGTGGAAGCGGTAAAACTGCCGCGTCAATGTTGAACGCTGCTGAACGACAAAGGGCATTGCTACAGCAGGTGCCGCCACCGCCGGCGTTCAATGCCCTGTTGATTGGGGGGCCTAGGTTTGGGTTGACCATTGATGAAGTTGAGGAGGGGCTAGCCCCAGAACTGAGGAAAAGCAGTCACAGCTCGGTCAAGGTTGGGTTGATGACTGTCAAGGTGGAGTTTGTCACGCGGTATCTTACCGGCAGCGATGAGGTTGTTGTTATTGCGGTACCCGTCTTATCTGGTGCTCCAGCAGCGAACCCAGCGCCGCAAGAGAAAGCCATCGAGACGATGCTAACTAACCTACAGCCGGTTATTGCAAAGATTGTCACGAGATTAGGCCTCGCCTCGAAGGAAGTTATCCTTTGTCGGGTGGATAATCCCTCAGCCGCAGCGCCAATTATCACGCGTCGACAAGGAGAGGGTCCCGGATCATCAGATAAAGCGCCAACATTAGCAGGCGGCTGGTCGGCGGTGGCTAGTCGGGGCGGATGGAAGAGAAGTGCTGCTTCTGCTTCACAGAATGAACAAGGAGCACAAGGGCAAGGCTCTACAGGGGCGCCGTCATTCGCCAGCGCTATTGCCGCGAGCGGAGTGGCTGGCGGGGTTGTCAACCTCAAGGGTCGAGGAGCCGTTTCGTCGGCTCCTCCGACTCCGCCTGGACGGTCGTTTGTTGCCTTGTTGAAGAAGAAGGAGAAGAAGCCTGTTGTTGTTGAGCCTGTGGAGGATGATTGGCTTGTTGCTGCTGAGAAGGAGGATCTGACCGGTAGTGGTAGTGGCAGTGGCAGGGAGGATGTTGTCGACGGGCAAGAGGATACTGCGGGTGTTGGGAATAGTGATTGGGCTGAGGAGAGTGGTTCTGGCGGCGGAGGAAGCCAGCAAGGGGAAGGTTCGGTTCCTAGCGAGGTTGGGGGAAATGATAGTGAGATCAAGGTCACGGATGAAGATCAAAAGGACAAGACACGAGAGGAGGCTGATGATGGCGAAATAGTCAGCGAAGGAAATGATGAAGCTGAGCAAGATCAGGATGTACCTGCCACAACGGCCAATGCCCCTCTAACTCGGGCCCCGGCTGCGTGAGGAAGAGAAGGATCCCTCAAGAGGGATAGGGAAAGCAAAGATATAGACCAACTAAGGTACCGAATGTATAGAATATCATTGAATTAGATGTGTTGTCAGCTATAGATAATCACTTCATATCCGGGCCAATTCTAGCACGATCCATTTGGCACCTGTCATCCTCCAACATGCAACTCTTGTCCTCCGTGTTCTCCCTCCATAAAGAGCCCAGCCAAACCTTCTTCCGCCACATATCCTCCAGTGAATGTTAGATAAGCAGATGGAAAGCATAAATCCAACTCTACCACCATAATCTCCCACACACACACACAAGTCAATGAAAGGCACCGTCCGGTAGCTCAGCGGTCAGAGCGCGTGCAGCGTCACTGGGCAGGTCAGTGGTCCCGACGGAGGTTAACCCATACGTGAGCGAGGTCGGTGGATCGAAACCATCCCGGGCGCTTGTTTCTCCTTACTTTCTTTCACTTTATTTTTCTTCTCTTCTTTATTTTTGTTCCGAGCTCGTGGGCAATACGCAAGGTAGAGGTGGGTTCTATGCATTTGCGTTGCTTCCATTGATGGTATTTGTCTTGCTGTTCTATTACGAGTACATGGACTGGGGACGGGAAAGGGGTTAGGAAAAGAGCCGGCTGACCATTCTTTTCTTCTTTTTTTTATTTTTTTTTTACGCTCTGCCCCATTGCTTTCTTCGTCTCTTTTACCAGTACGGAGCAAGTTCTTTGTTCACTTGGGTCAACTTGATGTCCTTCTTCCCCCGCCCCCTCCAGCAGCAGTCTTTACCTTCCTCGTCAGCCCGTCGGTCAACCCCTCTCCTTGCTTACCGAGGGATTGGGTCCTTCCCCGGATCAGATAACCAACTCAGTTAGCTCGACATTTGCTGCTTACCGTACCGAGCTGAGCACATCGCCCCGCGTTTCCGTAGAAGAGCTGGGGCTGAGGCGTGAGGTGAGGGGGATATCGCCCGTCTTGGTATTGCTGCTGATGGTGTCATTGATGATTTCGGATCGGTATTGCTTTTGATCTTGAATTGGAATTATTGGTCCTGATGTGGGATCGGCAATGAGTTGAGTCGGTCTTATGTTGGATCGGTAGTGATGAAGCTGAACTAGCGTAGCGTAGGACCTTTACGCCTCCCACTCCCAGTCCCACGATATGCACCCAGTGCTGCATGCGTGTGCAGCTGAGGGTTATATTACACGCGATATACCTCCGATAAACATGGGGTGGTTTATTTTCGGATCAGAACTCACACCTTAGCTGGCCTCTCGGTAACTGCCCTTGCCCACTTACTGTAAGCAGACTACAACTCGCATGGTAAACCTCCCTTTGTTACTCTGTCCTCTGTCGTCCCATCACTTGCCGAGCTGTAAGCTTGGCCCAACTCATTTTATACCCATCTCGCCTACCTCGCATCGACAAGTATAGTTCACACGGGTGAGTGACCGAACTGGGAATAGGAAACAGGAACTGGGCAAACCACCGAAACGGAACCGAGCCGAACGGGATATATAATACAAGATATAGATAGGTACTCCGTACTTCAAGTATTAAGCGAGTGGTGACCAGACGGCTATTGACGACCTGCGTAAATTTATTGGCACACTTTTATCTATTTTTCCTTGACAGCATACCCATCTGGTAGTTCTTGGTCTTATCCGGTACATGTCATGGGATTCCAGATATTTATTGGTTTCGTGTAGATGAAAGCCTCTGGTCTATCTGACGTATTTGGTCTGCTCCGAACTGATCTAGCCTGGTGGTGAGATCCATCCGAGCCTCTGACCCGAGTAACGACTACGAGATTCAACTCTTGAGATTAGACGGGGGCTCTTGAACAAAGTTCACATTATCCGCCTGGCCATCTCAGAGTCGTCACGGCCTGGGGTTACCAGTGGGTGTGATGTTTGTGTGGATTCGTTGGCTTGTTGGACCGAGGTGAACGTAGCAAGCAAACAACAGGAGACGCTCCGCACAAACCTACATGTCACTGGATCGAGTGATCGATGCCCATATCCATATCTGTCCTGTTTTGGAGAACCTATCCCGCCTCCAAGTCGCTGCTCACCCGCGTGATGGCTTAATCACGCATGAGTCTCATTCGGGACCTGGGTCCATGGGAAAACCACCTCGTCGAACTGACCAATACATGATGTACCGACAGTCAAGAATTCTACCTCTCTCACCAGATGGGTATGGCTTCTCCCCACTCACCCATGCGGGCAATCGAGGAACTTGGCTCATTGATCCGCCCACGCCCCTGGCAAGTACTCTACGATAAAGCTGCATGAATAGACCTCTCCCGGAATCTGACGTTGATTTCTCTTAATATCTGGGGGTATCAATGTATCACAATGAAAGTGAAAGGAGAAAGAAACGACAAGAAATCATCCCAGACACATAACGCCGACGGGACAGCCACCAGTCCCTAGACGGGGTTAGGTAAGCTGCTCCCGCATGATAAGAAATCCAGAACCGTAACCCATACATTTCCATCGACACATGTCGTATTATTACATGTCCTCCATCGTTGCATGCAAGTGGCCTCTTAGTATTTCTTCTTCTCGTTGCTGGTCGTCCTGCTAATGAAGTCGGCAATGGCCTCAAAGTAGCCCTCCTCCAGTACACTGGAGTTGTGGTCGCCTCCGGGAAATGGTTTCCAGATCTTCAGGGGCGCCGTGGACAAATCATACAGCCGCTTCATGTGGATGGGTGGGACGATTTCGTCCTGAAGTCCGCTCAGAAACAAAGTCGGGACCTTGATATTGGCGATCAGACTGTCGCTCGCCCAGACCTGGTGGCACAACAGAGCAAGATACTTGGCAGGAGGAATGATGCTGGGGATCAGCTTGCGCATGCTGAGGAACGTGTTTTCGAGGATAAGACCGGTGATGAGCTCGTTGCCGTCGGCGTCGGTCCGTCCTTGATTCTTGGCCACAAGCTTGATGCTGACCGCACCACCCAGACTCTGTCCGTAGACCAGTAATTTGTGGTTCTGCGTCTCGGCCCGGTTGCGTAGATAGTCGAGGGCGGTCTGGGCGTCAGTGTTCAAGCCAGACTCGTCTGGGCTACCGGTCGATATCCCATAGCCTCGGTACTCGAGCATAAAGACGTTGCAGCCTGTCTGGGAGATGAGCATGCGTGCGATGGGCAGGCGGTGGCCAATATTTCCCGCATTGCCGTGAAACATGAGCACCGTCACATTCGAGTTTTTACCGCCCCTGGGCCCCCGTATGTAAAAGGCCGAGAGCTTCTCGCCATCGTTGGTCGGGATGATCAATTCCTCATAGTCCTTGATGTTGAACTGGTTGGGGCGCGGGATATCGGTTCGAGAGTTCGGGGGCATATGCGAGGGGTAGATGAGTGCCCTAGAGGTTCATGATGTCAGTACGTCGTAATTGTTGTGGTGGTGTTGATGGTACCCCCAAATGGATACCCCTGAAACCTCAAAAAAAAAAATTAAGGGGACCCTTACTTTTGTTTGAAATATAGTAGGCCGGTCAGAACAGCAGCGACTCCCTGAAAAGAAGAAACACACAGGTTAGCTAGAGGTCCGATACTGAAAGAAAAAAGACACAAAGAAAGCTCTGGCAACTTGCCCCCTGAGCCAGTCGGCGCGGTTGGCGGTACAGCCATGAAGGCACTGGGTGAGAGAGGCAGGAGTATCGGGTCATACAGTTGAAGCAATCGCCGGCAGCCGCATATAGCCTGCGACGCTGCCCAGCAGAGACACAGTCTGCTCCAGAAAGGTAAGAGGAGGACTACCGCTGCTGCTTGGTGAGACCGGCGGCGACGACATGACGTTGAGGCCGTGAGAGCAGGAGATCGAGAGGGAGACGAAAGAACGAAATGGCGGTATGGCCCCGAGTTATGAGGAATGGAGACACTTTTTAGTGCACAGCGAACGTGCACAAAGCGACAAGTGGAGAATGGCGATGTGGATGACCCAGGTATATCGCATGCAGGGGGTCCTGGTGTTTGACCCTGTCCGCTTCAGACTGGTGTGTTTGGTTTGGTTGCTTTGAATTGAAGAGATTTGGGGACTGGACGGCACTGGAATCTGGGCGGGAAAAAGGACGACGCCCAAAGTTCGGTGTTTGCGCTCTCCCGTAAAGACTCTAGATAAGAAGCTAATTTACCGGCTGGGCCAAAGAAGATGGCGAATCCACAGCGGGATGAAATTGTCGGCGACAAAATGCGCGAGTGGGTGGAATTGCAGTGATTGTTGAGAACTTTGAGATGCGTGCGATCAGTCGGGAAAGAGGCACCAGAGTCAATCAGCAATGTGATACTCCGTGTGCCGGTACCGGGATACAGTATCGGCTGTCAGAACTCACGAAACAAGAGCTTAACTCCTTGCCAATCAACGGAGCATTTCAGGGAGCAAGAAACGAATTTAGCATTTGCCCCCGGGAAAAGAAGCACGGGAGACAAACGAGGATGCAACCCACTGAAGCTGTCTCCTTGATGATGTAATGTCCTAAATTCATGCTCCATCATTGCATACCTCAATTTGGCCCCTATTCTCCTGACATCTCAGACTGCCGTTCTTCTGCAATTCCATCTTCTTTGGATCAAATTTCATGGCCGTTGCTGTGGCCGGCAGGCCCAGTCAGGTCTCCCGTCTGGCCATGGAGGCCCGGCCGGCGGCAGCAGGCGTCAAAGGATCTCCTCCCGAGCATGCACAGTCCCGAGAGTTCGGCCACCTCAGGGCAGAGGTGGACCACTGCCAAGTTGATAGTGCCTCTTTGGTCGATCTCCTTGATCTTTTTAATGTTCTAGCTCCAGACTCCGGTCTTGCGCTAATTTCGTATCATCTTTATCCTATTGATAGAGCTTCCCAAAGCTCCATCCTGAGCTGCAAAACTGGACCCGGGCGTCATCCGGGCTTCCGTCGACTCCATCTCAACCTTTTCCAAAGCAATAACTCATCTCCCAGTGGCATCTCTGTCATTGGCATCACCGTTTTCTCGGCCTGCGCCTCGCGCTTAGCATGGCGTCTCGAGTCAGGAATCCCGAAGCAACTCCAGGCTGCTGGAGAAAGCAGCACCGCCGTCATCAGATATGGAGCTGTGATCCAGACTGCCCGGCACTTGCCGTATATGATATATCAAACGACCAGAGAAGACGCGGCGAGTTTGTGATGATTCACAGGGGTGATGCGAGGAGACACCTCACTGTGCACACAGTAATACCGACTGCAATAAAGTCAGCCACTGGCGTGCCACGACAGACGCGCGCGACAGTGGCTCCCCGCATTGGGTCGCGCCGCTGTTCATGCACTCCTTCTGCACACATATCAGATCACCAACTTGGTTAATATCAAGTCTGGATCTGGCACTTATCAATGCTTTGAGAAAAGGCCATCACTGTCGAATGTCGTTTGCGCGGCTGCTGTTGCTGATCCAGCTTTCCAGTTGGCCGGAAGATGGTCAGCCAACTCT